CCACAGCCAACAGCATTCTAAATAGAGAAAAACTGGAAGCATTCCCATTGAAATCAGGAACCAGACAAGGTTGTCCACGATCTCCACTTCTCTTTAACATAGTGCTTGAAAATCTTGCAAGAAAAATTAGACAAGAGCGGGAAATTAGAGGAGTAATAACCAGACTATATACAACAAGCCCACAGCCAACCTCATTGTAAATGGAGAAAACTTGGAAGCATTCCCAGTAAAATCAAGAAACAGACAAGGCTGTCCACTATCCCTATTCCTTTTCAATATAGTGCTTGAAATTCTAACTAAAGCAATAATACTAGAGAAGGAAATTAAAAGGGTAGTAATTGGAAAAGAAGAGGTCAAATGGTCAAATTATACTTATTTTCAGATGATATGATATTATACATGAGATCCCAAATATTCCATTAGAAAACTTCTAGGTGTGAAAGGCAGTTTTATCAATGTGGTAGGTTACAAAATCAATCTACAAAATTAGTAGCCTTTCCATATACTAATAACAAGCAATTGGAGAAAGAATACAGGGAAATGCTCCCATTCACAATAGCTGCAATATATATATCTTTGAATAAAACTGACCAAAGACATCAAAGATCTCTACAATGAAAAATTTAAGTCATTAATGAAAGAGATTGAGGAAGACACCAGGAGATAGAAAGACCTCCATGCTCATGGATTGGACAAATTAATATTGTGAAAATGACCATCCTACCAAAAGCAATTTATAGATTCAATGCAATCCCAATCAAAATTCCCAAGACATACTTCACAGAATTATAAAAGAAACATCCTTAATTCATAGGGAAGCACAAACGACCCCAGATAGCCAAAGCAAACCTGAGCACAAAAAACAATGCTGGGGGGATTACTATACCATATCTCAAAGTATATTACAGAGCTGTAGTCATAAAAACAGCGTGGTACTGGCACAAAAATAGACGCATAGACCAATGGAACAAAATTGAAGGCCCAAATATGAGTAAATGCACTTTCAGCTACCTGATATTTGACAAAGGGGCCAAGAATATTCACTGGAGGAAAGACAGCACGTTCAGGAAATGGTGCTGGCAAAACAGGATCTCCACCTGTAGAAGAATGAAACTAGACCCCTATCTTTCACCTTGCACAAAAATGAATTCCAAATGGCTCAAAGACCTCAATGTAAAGCCTGAAACTCCTAAATTGTTAGAAGAAAACATTAGGAAAAACCTACAAGATATAGGTGTAGGAAAAGATTTTCTAAACCGGACATCAATTGCTCAGGAAACAAGGGCAAGAATTAACAAATGG